ATATTTCTTGTGTTTTATTGCGTATTACTTACGTCTTATTGTTGTGACTTATGTGTTATTTCTTTCAGTTATGTTTTACGGCTTATTAGGATGTCTTATCACTATGAATTATATTGTATTGCTATTATTTATGTTTTGGGAATGATGGAGTGCCTCAATGTCTACATCTTGGAAATAGCCGAAATATTTGTCTCCATTTATCGGTAACGAAGCCCAATACAACATCGATAATATTAGGCCGGCACCGCATTTGGAATTCTTCCTGTGGGTGATATATATATATATATATATATATATATATATATATATATATATATATATATATATATATGTATATATATATATATATATATATATATATATATATATATATGTGTGGTGTGTGTGTGTGTGTGTGTGTGTGTGTGTGTGTGTGTGTGTGTGTGTGTGTGTGTGTTGTGTGTGTGTGGTGTGTGCGGGTGCGGGTGCGGGTGCGGGTGCGGGGGTGCGGGTGCGGGTGCGGGTGCGGGTGCGGGTGCGGGTGCGGGTGCGGGTGCGGGTGCGGGTGCGGGTGCGGGTGCGGGTGCGTGTGTGTGTGTGTGCGCGCATATATATGGGCTTTTCCACCCAAGAACCCTGGAGGAAGTAAAAGTGCAATAGTTAAGTCGCAGGCAAGCTCCACCTTCGCATCTCATGAATTAATTCCTTGCAGAAATTCTGATAGGGATCGACGGATTAATTTCAGCTAAGATACCCCAAGTTGACTTATATCACGTGACTAGTGACGTCGCATCTCACGCGAAATGTCTTAAACATGAATGCAACATTAAACAACGTCAGGCCCATCTAGCATCCATGATATTTAATATTTATTCAAGGTCAAGTGAAGGCCGTGCAGTGCCAAGGTAGTGCCGAGTCAGTACCAGGTCAAGATCATGTGGGTTATAGGACATGCCACGGCAAAGGCAGGTCGGTTCATCGGATCTAAACGTCGTGCCCCTCTGTTTCACATGACTTATTGTACTTGCGTGTGTTACTCATGTTATAAATGGCATCTAAGGCCTGATAAAGATCAGACACCCTTTCTTTTTTCTCGCGCTTTATCATGTTTCCCGCACCACTGTGTCTCTCCGGGGAAATTTGCATGCATCAGCGATGAGCGGGATTCAGCATCCTCTCCCTGGCGGGAGCCGTCACAAAGCCCGAAGACGGTCGGTGCCGGCGCGGGTTTATCCTCCGCAGCGGAGGATTCTGATATGCACGTGACGGCCTCTTCTCTCCTATATCTCACAACCCTGAGAGGGTCATTGTCAGGCTTATATATGCCGGGCAGACGAAGCTCAGTAGATAAAATGTTGTACACGTCTATAAAAACACCAGGTGCGCAATGAAGGCTGACTTTTTAGTTTACAGTACATATTTGGTGGCGGGTAATTGCAGGAAGCCTGGCGCTGAAGCTACAAAGACAAATATATTTGAAATTTACGTAAGTCGTTCAGTGCATTGGCGAGGAACATTATTCACATGTATAAGACAGTAGTATTAGCCTTATTCCTTGAAACAAAAGAAATAACCTGAAAAATAAAAATAACCTGAAAAATCAAGTAGAATCCTCGGCAGGCAATTTTGAATTCACTTCTGCCTTTGTTTCGATAAAGGCATTTTGCTGAAATATCGACCAAACTATTTTCTCATTCTCCTGGTTTTTCAGAGGAATAAGAGTAATACTACTGTCTTGTATTTGAAATTTAAATGCAACGCTATGTCCAGAATTTGTAATAGAACCACTCGAGGAATTGTAAACTGCATGACACCAGCAGCATATATTAGGTGATAGCAAATAATGCAAAATATTCCTCAGCGAACTTTTTTTGTGGACAAATATTACATATTACAACAAATTAGGCAGGTAGGCAGATAGGTAAGTAGGTAGACAAAAAAAAACAAAAATACAACAAATTGTGTAGGTAGGTAGACAAATTTTACACCGTCCCGGCTCCTAGCGCGCGACCTTTTGATTATGAGTCCGGCACGTGACAGACTGAAACGCTGAGACCATTGAGCATGTCGCGAAAACCAGAAAGTTCACTGTCTGCTGTGCATTAGGGATTTGGCCTGTTGGGCGGAGGCACCTTGGCCTGTCTAGAGTAAGCATAGTCGATGGATCTGCGCAATATAATCAAACAATCTTTCGTTTGGTACTGGACTCTTCACAATTGGGATGCCACAATTCGTCGCATAGCTCCGTGAAAAGTAGGCCTTGAACAAGTGAACCCCATGGACAAGAGAAGTGCGCCATAGAGCGGCTGTGCTACTGACGAAATTCGGTGGGGCTGATGGATTGGGCTGTTTCGCTGTAATAACAACTTAACCAGACCAAACCAAACAATCCGGACTAAACAAACCCAACCAGGACCTACTCTTATCACAATACGAATATGTTTCTTTCACGGGTGTCTGTTTTGCATATGGAAGAGCATAAGCGGTCGTGTATCACCTCAGTTAAAGAGTACTTTTGTCGCCTTGAGGGTGCATGAGACCACTTTGATGCCAATCATTGTGTTAAATGGCTCCTTGATATTTCCTCAAAATTACAAACCCGTCTTCAACTAAAAAATACCGGATGGAGGGACGATTTGTCCGATCCTGCATTTTGGTGTCGATGGAGGGTGATTATCGTTTACCTTAGTCACCTTGTTTGGACTGTATGCCATTGTTTCGTGCAATATTGCTAATTATGGTCCTTGCAATCATTGGGCTATTTATCATATTGGGTGTCTATATCAGTAAATACCCAGACGCTTCTGGAAGATTTGATGCCGACGTAATGGCGGCATGTTCGCCAGATCCGAATATTAGGCCAAGCATTCAAATCTACGAACATGGATGCTTAGCTCTAGCCACAATCTAGCTGAATCTTTATCGTCCAGACGATCGAAGTTATGAGAGGGGGCTACTGTCTCCACCGTCAAGGCAATGCCCAGCTGGCTTCATGCTCACCATGTTCGCCGCTGCACTGGATTTGGCTTAAGACGGTCGCGGATGATTCGGGTGGTCTGGACTGAAATGGTGGGTAAGAGTGATGCGGTTCATGGTAGCTGACGAGACGCGCTACGCACGACATCCACGGCTTCTCATGCTGGCGAGGCACTACGCTGATGTTATGAAACGTATCGGATGGCTCATGTCACGCTCAAATGCCATGACAAAAACGTCCGAATTAAGTACAAATTTGGGAATGTTAGACTTGTCACGTTTGCAGCCCTATGGTATATGCAAAGTAGCCCTAGAGCCTCATGGTATGTCACGTTCGTAGCCATAGTGTATGCAAAATGGCTCTACAGGCCTATGGTATGTCACGTTTGCAGTCCTATGTGAGAGCAAGCATGAAACCCTCATGAGCAACTATTACGCTGGTATTACGCTTGCCATAAAGTATTACGCATCAAGCCTCGCCTAATATTGTTATCCATACAAGGAGGAGGGTATGAGCGCACTGGCTACTATGGCCATTTTATTCATACAAGTCTGACAAGAATAACAACAATATGGCAAAATATATAGCAACAACATAATGAAATACATAGCAACAATATGGCAACATATATAGCAACAATATAATGAAATACATAGCAACAATATGGACAATGATAGCAATCGCGACAATATAAGAGTGTATTGGTGACAAATATGATCGCGTTAAAGTCAGCTCATATTGGGTAGATTCCATCTTGTGCCCGTTTTTAGTCAACATACATGTAATGATGTTCTCATTGAATGGTTTGAGGACTCAGTTGGGGAAGTTAAACTCTCGACGTTAAGTGCTGACCCGAGGTTATAATGTTGCATAAAGGCGTAACAATGGACGGTATCACCCAACTAATAAGGCCGCATGTGTTATTGAATTCACGCGAGTCCATGCTCACCTGTTGACAAGCATCCAAAGACAACTAGCCTGCTCGTCGTCTCTTTGCGGTAAGAGAGAGCAAACTAGCATCACGCGTTGTATGGGTGTAATGAGGTGGTTGCAATAGGAAGAGTGCAATTGGATCAGTTTTCGTCAATCATCGACCAGCTTCGCTTCGACCAACCAACTTGAACGGTCCAACGAATGCGCAGCTCGTTGGGCGGCGATGCTTTGGTTCAGCTGACGGCCGACCTAGTTTATCATACGTACCAAAGCTTAAGTGATCGTATTGCCGCTGAACTGGGATGCTGAGAGTAATGTATTGTTGTTGAAACGGGGTATGATAGCCTATCGTAACATTTCATTCACAAACTGTACTGAAGAAATAACCTTGGCGCGGGTGAATACCCCTTAAATTAATTGTGTTAATTAAAATATTTTTTTGATAACGGTCATCGGGGACCAACAAAGAAGGCTCTCAAAAATAATCATTTTAAATAACAATTTGAGCTCCTGCAGCAGAAAACGGGAAAGAAGAATACCTAGGGTCACAACCTAAGCCGGTCATACCTAATCTAGATACGTACATGTTCAGCCATTTTTTTTTTTTTTGGTCTGAAAATTGTTTCTGTCAGTGCAAGTGGCCCAAAGTTCAAGAAAATACTTTGACTCATTTTACGACACATTCAGATGTAATCATTTGGCGTCTAAGTTACACACCGATCAAAACCTCGCCCTGTTTCGCCGTTTTTCATAACGCGGACTGATGCTGGGGTCGATGCGCCCCCTTATGGTGTTTCCAAATGATAAAAATAGAGCTTAGTTTACTACGTCAGTGGATTGGTCTTGACATTGTCTCGCGATTGTTACTGGTAAATATGCTGTTAGCTCAATATTTGGTCCCATTTTGTCATGTCCAGTTTCCCAGAAACTCGTACTTTTTCAGCTCGGCATCATGCTTTGGAAACGATGCCTTGTGGCGGCACGAAATCGTAACAGGCGCGTTCCTTGTTCAGTTCCGAATACAACGAGATTACTTTGAGAGGCGGGCCGAGCTCCGCCAACCTCGCCGCTGGTCGCTGCGGACTGTTGACCGTTGTCGTCCCTTCGTCAGCTTCGGCATGAACCACGACGGCCCGGGCAACGGCTGCGACCAGCCTGACGGGCATCAGCAGCACGTCATGGCGCCCAACCTGGTCAACGACGTCACCCCTGTCGTGTGGTCTAAGTGCTCCAGGCGCGAAATCACCAAGTTCCTTGAGTGAGTGCCCGCGCGGCGCGGCGCATTTGCCCGGCGAGCTGTGATGGCTGGCGCTTATATGCGGCGCGAGACACTCACTGCTACTGCCGGCAGGATTTATGGAAGAACGAAGGCCCCACGGGGATGTGCTTTGCGAATAGCGTGTGGGGAGGCCGCGCCATCGGCCCCTGTGGGTGTTTCCTGTAATGGCAGTGTCTCAAGTGCGGGAACGCCCCGGCGATCGATCTCTTCGCCGGGCGACTGTCATCAGCGCGCCACAACCTGAAGCCACAACTCGTCGGCTTCCTTTTCGTGGGCGGCGGTAAGGGGGACGAATTCCGGGAAGCTTCGTGTGACCCTGAAGACAAAGGCAGCGCTGGAGGGCGCAGCGTCTGACTGGCGCTCGCCGCCGGATTCTGGGATGTGCCGCGCTCGCGTTCGATTCTGGGACGTGCACTGGTGGCCGACAGGCCCGCCGCTCTGGTGGTCGACTCCGGACAAAGCCCGTGTTCCGGGTCGAGGCGCGCGTTTGGCAGCGACGCTGCTGGCGGCGCTCGCCCCCTCCCCCGGGCTCCGTCGGGCCGTGACGCCCGGCCTCAGCAACTCGGAGTTCAGACGCGGCCAGGTCACGGGCCAGGTCAGCCCGAGGCGTGCCGGTCGGCGCGATTGTGTCACGAGGCGTGATGACCCTCTTGAGAGCCCTTGCCGCCGCAGCTGCGGCTAATATGGCTGGCCGGCCGCGGCCACGAGATGGGCACTGTTAGAGATTGGCCGCTGAGGGTCATTCTGAACGCGCTGTCACGTCGTCGGCAGTCACGGATCCAGTGGAGGCGCGGCCTGGGTATGCCAGACACGTGGGCCGACCTGAAAGGCCGCCGGCGCTGAAGGGGAAACACGCTGGCCAGAGAGAGTGGTCCACCCCGAGCTCCATTATTATTTGAAAGGATTAGAGGGACTGGGGCTGTTGGAACTTCCGGGTGAGTAAGCCTCTTGTGCTCGGAGTTGGGAAGCTATATCTTGGTTCTCCCTGATCCTTTTCCTATCACTGTCGTCTTAACTGACTGAAGCGCAGGTGACTGGGAATGGGGCGTCTATATTTCAGCGCACCGCTCGGATTCCGGTGTAACATCCGCGCACGGAAGAAATAACGACTGAAAAGCTTCGGCATCTTCTTGTAAAAGACTAAGCCAACTTGCGACGCGGTCATCCAAAGAAGCGCGCGCTGCCATTTGACCTGGGTTGGCCCCGTGCTGTCCTGGGTATCTGGTTCGTTGGCTCGGTAATGCAACACATCATGTGCATTACCCGAGCGGGGAACTCGCATAACTATGGTTATGCTACTAAAACATGGAAGCGACGCAGCATAATGCTGATATATATATATAGCTGTAGCTGAAGTGAATCCGATTTGTATTGTGTGGAACGACGGACATTTTCTGGCCGTTTCTGACGGGGCCGTTTCTGGGGTCAGAGTCAGCCCGGTTCTCCTAACATAGAAACGGCCGTCTCGTCTCTTTCCTCTTGTGATCGCCGCAAACCAGGGGTGATTGTCAACCAACAACGATTTGTTTTAATTTGATTGGGATATCTGCTGCAAGTCCTGCATTGTTACAAGCTCAAAGTCATATTCGCAACTGTTGCCGTTGCGCCCTCAAATGTTGACCCGTTTTGCTCCAACAAAAATAACATCAAACGTAAAGAGTACTGCAAATACATGCCAAACAATTCTTGGGTCTTCGCTACGACTACTATGCTCATATTTCCTTGGCTTTAACGACAAAAGGCATGAGGCCTTACCATTTGCAAACATGGCATATGGATATGTACCGCTGAGCGTGAAGAACATTGTGGGGACGGAAGGAAGACGAATACGTATTCAGAACTTTATCACCGGTGGTCCCTGCGGTTATTATATTCTCTCATCTTGCTGCCCGACATCGGTAAAGTTTTGAACCTCGGCTGCGTCCTATTATTGTTGTGACGTGGTTTGCCGCTCCACCTGGCCGTGCTCTGCAGCGCCAGCAGCGGTCTGGTCGCTGCAGTCATCCATTACATGATTATAACTGACGCCAACTGCTTTCAGCCGTGACTGGGGACACTGCCTGGATGACCAGCCCACCGACCATGAGTATAGCTACCCCCAGGTAACGGTGGACGGGACGCTTGTTCCGCGGTGAATATTTTGCCTCGCAGTACTGATATTTGGAAACCTTCCTTGGGAGAAAGGCACGATTTTGACGAAGCACGCTTTCTTTCTAACTCTGTTTTGCTATACTTCGTTTTAGTCGGCCTGCTCCCTCCAAAAATTAAAGATGGGAGCTCTTTATCTTTTGGTTCGTTGTCTTTCACTTACACTTTCCCCGTCGTTACACAGTATTTCAGTCAAGTGCGATGAGTGAGCCAGTCACTCCCTGCAGTTGGAGACACAGATGGCCGCTTCTGCCAGTTTTGTCTGACTGTGACCTTTACCCCAAGCTCTGTCGGAAAAGCGACACCAGCCGAGTAGCTCCCATGCACTACTATGTTAATTTACCTATTTGGCAGCCTGTCACATTCGCCTCCGGTCGTAATGTGGCACAAGCGGTAATGCTTCGAATGCTGGGAAAGGGCAACGACAATCCAAATACAGCAACGTTCAATCTGAGCCTTGACCTCGACATGACCGCTGACCTGGCGACTGCCGGCAGGTGCCGCCGGGAGCCCTTTACAACGCCGACCACCAGTGCAAGCTACTTTACGGTCCGGCCGCCTCCCACTGCGATATGGGCAACGTGTGCGAGACGCTGTGGTGCCGCGTGCAGGGTCGCTGCGTGACGGAGCTGGAGCCCGCCGCCGAGGGGACCAGGTGCACGCCGCTGGACGGCGGCCCGCTGGCCAACATCAGCACGGTTGGTGATGCTCATGATCCTCGGCCGGTGAGGGTGCGCATGCTCCATCTAGGCGCTCTGAATGTATGTACGCACACGAGATTGTATGGCGGACAAGCCAGTCGGCGGTTGGATGCTGTCTGCAGACGCGGGCGGATTCCCTAGTGGGCTAGGGGATCATGTTGGGAAAGAAAGTGCGTGTTTGTTACTGGCACTGCCAGGGCCCTGTTCATGCGCCGCGCGCGCCGTGAACGAAAAATCTGGCTTTGTCCCCTGTTCAGTGGCTACACGCGACGCGCGCTCGCAGTACTGGCCGGTCCGTTCAAATTTCGGTTTTGTTCACGGTGTTGCCCGTCGCATTTGTCGAGAGAGGTTTTACCGGTTGTACTCGTTCATATGGCAATGTGCTCATTTTATTGACTTCCAAAGTGGGAACGCATAAAATGACATTTCCATTTGGGTTTTAAAATGGCACACTATGGCACAGAAGCAATCTGGAGGATGTGGGAAGAGTTACTTGGCTAGAGATATATGAGAGAAACCTTATGACCATGATCTCAGCATAAAATGGATAGGTGAATAAACGAGGACTTTGTGGCGATCACGACGTCATTCGCTTCACCCATATGGGTGCAGCCATATTATTTCTGCGGGCGTCGCGGCTGCTCCTGACCGTACATACTGCACGCAGGTACCTCAGTGCAAATTAAAGGGATGCCGCTTTAGATAGCACGATTTCTGTGCTAACTAAATGTGCTCCTCGATACGTCATTGCTTGATTACGTCATCATACTTAACGCCATCGTACGTTACCTGTAAACGAATATCATAGTGTCCTTGCAAGCACGTGTTTGTCACGACAGCTGGGAAGATGTAAACAGAAAGCGTGCCACGGTACGAACACGTCCGGCAAAGATTCTTCTTGACGTCATGTAGAATAGAACATTCTTGGTGCGCTGGGAATACACCCCAAATCTTGTTAACTTTTTTCCACCAGTCAGTATTTGCGCGAGCGTCGCGCGCGCAGCAAATACACAGGGCCCTGGTATTGCAGACTAGGATGAGCGCTCTTCTGTCTGTCAGCTGTATGTTGATGCTGCGGTGGAGCCTGACAGCGCCAGCCTGCCTGACGTGGCTGCGCCCGCGCCCTCCGTGCGCTGCAGTGGTGCTCAGCCGGCGACTGTGTGGAGATGCGCAGCCGGCCGCGCGCCGTGGACGGCCGCTGGGGCGACTGGGGCGCCTGGGGCGCCTGCAGCCGCTCCTGCGGCACCGGCGTGCAGAGTTCAGTGCGCCACTGCGACCAGCCGGTGCCGGCCAACGGCGGCAAGTACTGCGTCGGCGAGAGGCGCCGCTACCGCACCTGCTCGGCTGAGGTACATGCTGCTGGCGCTGATGCCGGCCACCGCACGCCCGACCGGCGGTGTCGCGGGATCGGGCTCGGGTTGGTGCTGGCGGTGATGGTGTGGGCCGATCGGCGGTGTCGCGGGATCGGGCTCGGGTTGGTGCTGGCGGTGATGGTGTGGGCCGATCGGCGGTGTCGCGGGATCGGGCTCGGGTTGGTGCTGGCGGTGATGGTGTGGGCCGACCGGCGGTGTCGCGGGATCGGGCTCGGGTTGGTGCTAGCGGTGATGGTGTGGGCCGATCGGCGGTGTCGCGGGATCGGGCTCGGGTTGGTGCTGGCGGTGATGGTGTGGGCCGACCGGCGGTGTCGCGGGATCGGGCTCGGGTTGGTGCTAGCGGTGATGGTGTGGGAGCGCTCATGGACTTCATTCGAGTCACTGGGGCTGTGGTTTATTGCGATCGATGGTCGACTGATAAAGGTCACGTTGTGATGATACGGCTGCTTAGTCAGAGCACTGCGCTCCTCCACTTTTGGGAGCAATTGAGTTGTATGCGATCTATTTACTACCCTTTGCTTTTGCGGGTCATATGTGATACATTTCTGGTTGTATGGGGTCATCAGATCGGTAAATTCATCTCAATAGTCCAGCTGTACTATTGGCATTGGCAAGTGCATTCTTGGAATTAACGTGGCGTTCCTCCTCATCTGTACAATGCACTTCACGGGATATGTGGAGTTGGGCAACACCTGACTAACCTATGACCTACGGCTTTGATATCTATAACAGCTGGGACTATGGCCTGCATTCCGCCTAAGCGCCGTGCTATTGTGTGGAGACTTCTTACACTTGTTGAAGCAAGTTACAGGTCCGTAACTCTGCACTGCAATGACTTCAATGCCGCTGATTTTAGAGCGGGTCGTACTACTGGCTCACCAATGACCCTGATTCTTTGCCCTAAGATAGACGCTCGTGCTCTAGCTAGTTAGGCGTACTTGTGTCGCCTCGCGACTGTACCAGGATCGCCAGCGCTTGTCTGGGAGATCGCCCCCGCTGAGAGGCCGATTTCTTCGCTCAAGATGTTGCCAACAACGTTATGGACCGGTGTTGACCACTGTCAATGTCTTGTCACTGGGCCGCAGGCGTGTCCGGAGGAAGGTGTCACGTTTCGGGCGCAGCAGTGCGCCGCGTTTGACTCCGTGCCGTACCAGGGCCAGAACTATACCTGGACGCCCGTCTACGACCATGGTGAGCCGAAGGAGGCGGAAATGGACGTCCGTGCTCTGGCCCTGCCATTCACCCAGCAGACCAAATTTGAAGTCAGCCAGTCATTCATCCAGACGCTGTGAAGAAGGGCGTCGTAATCGGGATCTTAACAGAATCTGAACGGGGTCGACAGCTCTGCTGGAGCTGTTTCCAGAGATCACCGCACGCAGCCCACGCTACCCATCTCACGTCAGATGATCATGTGAAGCCGGCGCTCGCAACCTGCCCCATATAGCGGTGCCGGGCCTGTAACTTGCGGCCCTGTGCACGCCGGCGGCGGTGACCTGTGACATGGTGCCTGACATGTAACCTGGTGATCTGACCTGTAGCATGGTGACCTGACCTATGATCCGGTGACATGACTTGTGACCTGGCGACCTGACCTATGACCTGATGACTTGATAACCTTATTTGCGACTGGTGACCTTATCTGTGACCTGGTGACCTGAGCCGTGCATGTTGACCTTACTGGTGACCTGGTGACCTGACCTGTGACCTGGTGACCTGACTTGTGACGTGGCGACCTGGCCTGTGACCTAATGACCTGACCGGCCTGCCCCCGTCCGGTAGCGGTACCTTGCCAGCTCACCTGCCGGCCGACCGAGCGGCACTTCACAGCCGTGCTCTCCGACACGGTGGCCGACGGCACGCCGTGCCGGCTCGGCACGCACGACATCTGTATCAACGGCAAGTGCATGGTGAGTGTGGCCGGCGACGGCAGCCGCGCCCGGCGTCAGTGCTCCCGGCCATTGGGAATTTTACGCTGTCCAGTAAGAAACCCATATTGACAGCGTGAGTGTGTGAAGCTTCCAGCCTTTGTTCTGGTCTTCTTCGGGAGGCTGGGAAGGTCCATGAATGAAGGTCCATCAGGTCCAAGGAGTGAGAGAAGGTCCATCAGGTCCACGAGTGGTCCGGCCACAGCGCCTTGCCGCAATTAGTTCCGTAATGACATTGCTGGCTTTTTACGTCTTCCGCGAAGGTAGCGCAAGCAGAAAATCTCACTGGACGTGTGTCTTCCATCTGTTATCTTAATAAACCCTGAGGAAGCTAGCATTATGTCATTATGGAAATGTCGCTGGCACAGTGGTCGGGCCACTCAGAGACGTAGCGTCGGCCGCAGGTCTCGAGCAAGTGAATGGGAGCATTGTGCTTTCTACGCACTTCATGGGAAATCACCCATCTTCTCTTAAAGGGAATGTCCGCAATGACTGATGTTTTCTACCAAGCTTTGTCTTGTTTAGCTTGGAAACAGCAGCGTCCCATTGAACCCCCCCCCCCCCCCTCATGAGTTTGCGTATGAAAAACAGCGAAAAAGGGCAAGCGTCAAATGAATGATTTGGTTTTGGCAGAAAGAGCTTCTGGGTGGTACGTATGGACACAGATACGCATACAGGCACATATTCATTTCCGCGCTCATTGGTGAGTGTATTCAAGTGCAATATTCCACAATGAATATGTAATATATAAGCACAATATCAGGTCCAAAATACAATAGATAATGGATAAGGTGTAAATGAAAAGCTAAAAAAATGGTCAGTAGTCTCCTGCAATAGTCGTTCTACAATGTATGAATGCATTGAAAAGTTTTGTATTTTTCAAATATTTTATGAAGGATAAGTAAGGTACAAAATGTTTTGACAAGGAAACGATTGCGTGCACGCAATTTCATCGACATGCAATAGGTAAACCACATGTATCTATCTAGGAGCATATTAGGTCTATCAGCAATGTGCATCGGTTGAGTACGCTGGATGCTAGCTGCTCCATTATTGTTAACACCGGTGCTATGAGGATCAAGGCGGGTTTTAACGATCGTGCACTCAAGGATCAGTCATCTTGGATCATATTAAGGTTTGTAAGCGCTTCAAGCCCTCAAAGTAATGTAAGCAAGCCCTGTGAGTGCTGTAAGTAGGCCCGGTAAATGTTGCATACTTATGAAATGAGTCGCTGCAGGCATATAGAAGTTCGGTCTGTTGCGTCTGCGTCAAAAATGCCACCAAATGTTTGAAATAAGTTTTGAAAAGTTTCAGTAGGAAGGTATCTTGCATCAGATTTGTCATTAAAAACATGAATTTACTTATAGCCAGGAAACGGTAACGTTATCTACTTATGCACATTTACAAACATGTTTTTAGATCTATGCAAAACTTTTATAGCCAAAAATCGCTGATTAAGGAGTAGTGAGTAACAAATAAACGTTGAAAAGTTTTTGAAAAGTTTTAAAAAGATCGTACCACCGGCTAATGGCTACGGCTAGCTTGTGTATATGTTACAAGCGCTCTCTGACACTATTTTCAGTTTCACTTAATCTTTACATTCCAGCCACTGCTCGCATGTTCTTGTATTGTCTGTTGGGTTTCTAACTGGCCTTAAGCATTGACATTGGTCGCCATTCTAAAGCCAGCGAACTTGAGCCGTTCCCGCCTTATCTGTTGGTCGCAGAGGCAGTAGATGATCCCATTGGCCGGGCGTCGAAAAGACCGTCTTGAATAGACGGTGTGGGCAGCACCTATCGCTCCCTGTTTATGAGATGCTGTGTAGCTAGTTGATTGAGACAGTTGTTAAGTTAGAATGTGGTGCGCTGCGATATTGCTTCCCGGTGCCTTCAGCTCTAGCCTGAAATAGTCGGAAAAGTAGGGTGCCAGCAATAATGGGCAATAGAATGCGGTCGCGGAGACGCTGGTGGCAGAATGAATGTGTCTCCGTAGTACAAAATGTAAAGCTCACCTTTGTAACTGCACCGTATTACACTACCGTGTTGCATTGATAGCATGACTTTACATGTTCGCACCGTTACTCTGTGCGCTAGCAGCGTGACACGTTATGTCGTTACATGCCCCTCTGCCAGAGAGCGGCACGGAGGCCTTACCGTGACAATCTGTGTTAAGACGATGCTCTGTGTGTCTGTGCTCAAACGCATGCCTCTGTTTCAAGTTTCAGTCACGAATCGTGTTTTGTTTGACACAATGCAAGAAGCTGGACATGGTTCCTAGATATTACGAAAATAAGACGTACTGTAATAACTTCAGAATAGCGCCCTACCTGAGTACGTGAACACAAATAAACGTCCTAAGCCCGCGGATAAACATGCGAGAGACTCACGAGAAAGGGCCAAAACACGACCACATAACGATGCGTGGATCAGCAATAACCTCCAGCACCGTCCCCGCCACTTCTCGGGGGATTAGCGACAAGGGAGTGCTGGAGCTGAAATTTCGCACGGGCAGTTTGGCAGGACCTCCAACACTGTTCGAACGTCCTATGACGCAATCAAACAATGACTTAGTGATGAGCCTATTTATTAAATAGATAAACTGTGATGCCTAGATCGGTCTTTTCCATCCACAAATATACAAATAATTAAAATCTAGCTTATTTCAACATATCTGATGCTTGTTCCAACACCTTCAAATGTGAACATCCCCTTTATAGGGAATGTTTAACATGTAAAGATATTGAAGCAGGCATCAGATATAATTAAACAAGTTCACTTTTGAAGTGGAAAGGAGTGTTCCAGACAGCACAATTCTCTGCTTGGTAAATATGCTTCCCATTGCGTCACGGTTTGGTTAGGCCATCCTACCTTGCACAACCTTGATTGAGCCAATTGAAGGCCGTTATATCTGGAGATCGCTCTCGCGAACGTCAGGTATGAACGCTTCGATAATTATAACCTTTGGCCTTGTTTGCCGCATGGCTTGTGGAATGGCAAGGTTTGAGTGCTGACATTATAACGCCATGAATGCCAACGTGACTTTGAAATACTCCCCCGATATACCTTCTCCATTTTCGCGGGTGTGGAGCGCAGAAACTAGAGACCGTTAGGTCTTAGAAGGGCGTGATTATGGACAGGAACGAAAGGTTTTCAGGATGGCTATTTCAGTTCAGGACCCCATATAACAGTGGAACACTCCCTTTCACATTTTGCCATATTCTCATCACGCCATATTCTTTCACATACTGTTTTTGCACAAGTGGAAAATGCAACGGTCTGTTACAACTTGTCAATGGGTGGTCAGGTTTTTTTTCTTAGCGTTAGGAGATTGTCTTTACTACGCTATTGCGCTTTTTCTACTTTTGAATTGTTTTAAGTTACCCTGTAGAGCATATTGGTGATTTTACAAGATCTGTGATGCACTTCGCATTTTGAGGCAAGTGGAGCGAAGAAGGAAAGCACAAAACAAACCATTAACAAACATAGCGGTGGCTGGTTGAATGCGACGAGCTCGTGTGGGTGAGGGGGTTATTTGGCCCCATAACGGTAAGAGATCTAGACAAACCAAATTCACATGACATATAGACATGTATTTGAGCTCACTCACCTCAATTCATTGTGTTCCTAGATCATAATCTTCAGGTCATGTTAGATCAAACAACGTTAAGCTCCAAATTGTTGGCCGAATTGCCCTCAAACCTCATCCAACCAGCTTTACCTTACATACCGCTTCAATGCAAAAGTCCATTGGTGTAAATTTCACCTAGGTGACCTTATTTCACGTTCATAAGGTCGCCTTTTCTGTTATATTTTCTGTCACTTTCACTTTATTTCTGTACTTCTGCTGCTGACAACTGTGAGATGCCGCGTCCGTGTAGTGATCCATTCTGACGACCTGTCCTAGCGTCCCACCCACTGCGGTGCCCTGTTCCGGCGCTGTTGTCCACTGTGACGTTCTGTCCCGGCGCTATTGTCCATTGTGACCCCTGTCCCGGCGCTGTTGTCCACTGCGACGTTCTGTCCCGGCGCTATTGTCCATTGTGACCCCTGTCCCGGCGCTGTTGTCCACGGTGACGGCCTGTCCCGGCGCTGTTGTCCACGGTGACGGCCTGTCCCGGCGCTGTTGTCCATTGTGACCCCTGTCCCGGTGCTGTTGTCCACTGCGACGTTCTGTCCCGGCGCTATTGTCCATTGTGACCCCTGTCCCGGCGCTGTTGTCCATTCTAACGCCCTGTCCCGGCGCTGTTATCCTCTGTGACCCCTGCCCCGGCCCCGCGGGGCGCTGTGACGCCCTGTCCCGGCGCTGTTGTCCACTGTGACCCCTGCCCCGGTGCTGTTGCCCGCTGTGACCCCTGCCCCAGCGCGGCGGGACGCTGTGACGCCCTGTGACTGAAGTGTGCCGTCTGCAGGGCATCGGCTGTGACGGAGTGTTGGCGTCGGAGGCGAGGGCTGACCGCTGCGGCATGTGCCACGGCAACGGCAGCCTCTGTAACACCGTCAGGGACACGTTCACCGCTAAGGGAGACGGTAGGTGGGCGGTCATCACCGCTGGGTAGCGCGTCCGTTAGTTGCCCGGGTGCGGACTGGCCTGGGTAGGCGCGATGTCCTGTGTTTGCCCTTTTCAATGCCACTGCCGGTAACTGTTGGCATAAGACTGTTGCGTGTTGAGCTCTTTTGTGCGAGTGTTGAGTGGTGAGCCCTAGGGCTTGGGGTGCTTGGTTGGTTTGGCATGCCTATGTGGAGGTTACCCGAAAGTGTTTTTATCACAGCTTTAAAAAAAACATTCATTAACGCATAAGTGATGGCAACTGACGATTCGGCCGTACTTGTTTATGTTGTAATTGATATGACCCAGCTAAACTTGCACGCTCAAAATACGCAACGCATATTTATGATGTGCTGAAGTTAAAACTACTAGGTCGTTCCTCCGTCCACATGATAAGACCTGGCTTGCAAAAATGTTTTGCTCTACGCCGGTTCATATCATCCGCATGTTATCGTAGAAGTAAACTATACTATAGTGCTTTACTATAACGCATGTATAGACAAGTATATATATATATATATATATACATATATATATATATATATATATATATATATATATATGTATACACGTTTCCACTCTATATGCCGGTTATGCCGGTTATATGGCTGGTGTCATAATTACTCCCCGTTTTGTTCAGGGCATGTCGTCGTTGGGATACCATCAGTAGTCTGTATTATCGTTGTGTCTGATATCTCCGCGTTTTCTTCAGGATATGTGGTCGTCGCCGGCGTGCCAGCTGGCGCTCGCAACATCAAGGTAGAGGAGGAAGCTGGGGCAGAAGACGGAAGTTTTCTGGCCGTCACTGGTACCAAGGACGATTCCGATTACCTGAACGCCAACTGGTAAGCCACGGCGCACGGGCCTGGCCGTGTCTACCGCCATGACGTTTTATGGTTCCTCTAACAGCAGTTTAAAAACATCTTGCAAAACGCTTGCAACGATGCACGTTTGCCTGTTCGTCAGCTGCATTTTGGGACCTTGACGATGCTACAGAGTACCACATATTGTGCCGCCAAATGAAGTGACCCCCCCGGCCGCCCATTGTCTATCGGCTTCGCGGTCGGCTGAAGAGCCAGCGTGGGACGTCAGGTGCAACACAGTACATTGTCTAGAGTGGCAGCAATATCGGGGTGACCCCAGGGGAGCTAGCTCTCAGCGCCGCTCACGTGGTCAGTGACCTTTAGGCGATCAGAAGTTCAGATAATTACGTCAAGAACGTCGACGACGATATGGCTATTTGTGCCACCCCGCTGAGATTCCTCAGAACGGAAATGCTCGTCCAAGTAGTTTGGATGAACTTAGACCCAAATGTTCACATTGAATGCCTTTATGTCAACAGAAGTCCCTCAGGTCTCTCCAGGCGTTTTCAATGCCGCAAGGTTTGCGATCGGCACGCAACCCAAGACATCAAAACTGGCTGTCGGGGTATTATTTCCGCACCGTAGGTAATTCCAGTAAGAGTTATCTTCAGCCAGCACGTCAATAAGACGACCAGAGGGCGCGGACCGAGAGTACCGCGCACTCTACGCTATGGACGGTTTTACCTACCTCCCAGGCACATTGGGGCCTAATCAACGAAGTTCCGGCAGCTCATTAAATACCTACATACGCTTAGTGCAGATCAGAGCGCGATCCTCATTCCAGAGGGACCTCGCATGTTTCAAGTGACTGATGAGCAGAACTGGGTCTTGTGTGAATCACAAACATCGGCTGACAGCTGGAGAGTCTGTCAGTGTGTCAGTGGCAGGACCACCGCGGCATCTCACGTCGCAGCGCGACAAAATCCATGGTTGCCGTGTTCGGCATTGAAGTAAACCAGCATGCTTCAAGGGGAGCGTTACACATTTGTATAGGGTTCTGAGCTGAGATAGCCAATTTAAAGACCATTGAGTGCAGTTCACAGTCCTGTCCTTTTTAGGCTTAAAACCCTCTGGTTGCTGAGTTTGACGCTCGTGAACTTGTGCGGGCTCTTTCATGCGGATTTTTTCAAGGTCATCCATGCATTAAGACGCCATAGAAACATCACACGAATGCCGCGACCTCGTTGGCCAAGACCGCAAAAAGTTACCCTCGAGATATTCGTGTCCGGCGCACATCAGCATGATTTCCGACACCGAGGACTTCAATTGGCTTTGGACCGGACCAATGTGTTCGTTTCGTACTAGTTTCGAACACGAATCACGTTCGTTGCATCATAAGCATCATTAAGGACTCATATGAATGCCAAGAATGCGTGTTCTTGTCCTCTGACAAATACAAACAAGCCGGATTGCATAACAACATTTGTAGTTGTCATGACATACACGTCATTTTCCTAGCTCATGCTCTTGTAATAGAATGATAGTAAACATTTGTGTAGAGGTATGTGTTCAAATCAAAAACTCGCGCAACAAAAATAAGCTCGATGTAAATTGTTCATGGTGCTTTAGTCACTTTGCTGTGTCATTGACGCACGTACCTTTACATAGAGGAGGCCAAAGAATTGCAAAAACAAGCACCGCACAGGATACCTGTTACCGAGGTCACACAAACTTTGCAGCGCACACTTGAAAGCGCACGTGTTATTATGTTAAGCTCGGCGTTGTGACGTAATGGCGTATGGCACGTTCGCCTGGGCCTCGTGTATGCCGCATCATTAACTTATTCACAACAAAATGCCCGGGCTGGATTCGCTCAATCTGAGTCGTAATCAGCTCGACTTCATGTAATATACAGCGTGTAAGAGCAAGGCAAAACGAGCGAATCAAACCGCTCGTTAGCTTAAGCTACCAATAGCAAGCCATACCTATTCAATTCGAAATGGTTCGACTAGGCTAAATCGTATTGCTGACGGCGACACCACAGTCCACTTATTTTCATCTGTACCGCTTTATATCCCCTCGACGTCCTTGAGAAGTGCACTTACGTCCAATGCACTCCGACTGGCTTGTGGGGAACATCGTCGTTGCCTGGGTCTGTTGATGTCAAGTTCAATAATGATGTCGATTTGTGGATCGTCCGTCACCACCAGGAAGCTGGCAAACTACCGGTCATGCTTATTTTCGACCTATCGTTCTTCCTGGCTATACGTGTCAATGAGAAGTGACAATGACTCAATCACATCCCCTCCACGAGCCAGCACTGTTTGTACTGAAGATGGCACATAGTGCCATTGACGGAGTGATCAACTAAGTCGTCTGCGCGGTGTATTGCTTGTGCTCCTGAGTGTCGACCCGTGATGATAAAGCCAGGGCGGAGAGAATATCGGTTATCTTGAAAAGAGCCTCGGAATCACACAGTACTTTGCTGAGTTTGCTGACATTTAGGAGTGTTCGGCGCGCAGAGCCGCCGTCGTTTGACGTGACGATTTTCTCTGATATCGGCCGATCTACCACCGAGCTCATCCTCTCTCCTAAACGTCTTTGTGCCATGTGTTTAGAAGCCACCGGCCAGGTCTTGACTGGCGGTCACATGATACACGGATGACGCACTCGAAAACAGCAATCCAAACACGCGTCGTCGAGGGACCAGACTGATAGTCTCCGTGCGTGCGGTGCGAGCTGATAACGTGTCCAGGCCATTCATCTCCCTCCGTGTTGCTCCGCACACAGAGTGAGACAGAATGCTCTTGGCGTCAGAGCCGCGCCACCGCCGGGAAGAAGGCGCAAAGGAAATCAGCGGGTGCGATTTCCATGTACATTCGTTTGATACGAAAAGAGACGATGTGCGTTGGACAAATGGGACAATCGCGTCCAAGTTTAGCCTGATAAACGACTTCATATGATAGATCATATGAAGTCCATCGGGCGCACTATTGGTCACATCCCAGCACCGTTACGACTTTGTCCGACGCACTTTGGGTCATGACCTCTCTCTTGACTGAACTGTCGGCTATGTTGCCAGGTTTGTCCAGTGGAGTGGAGAGTACCGTGCCGGCGGCACTCTGCTCTTCTACTTCCGCGAAGATCAAAACGAGACCATCTTCATCCCTGGCCCCCTGAAGGAACCAATCGTTCTCAAGGTCAGAACGCCCGAGATCTGCGATGAAGTTCCGAATGTGTTTCGATGCGATCGCTGATTGTAATGGGATATCGGGCAAGTGAAAATTTGTTAACATAGATTATGATTTATCTAGTTGGAAAGCATGCTTGCACGCTCGGCTGGGCAGACGAATAGATCCTTCAAACCATACAACGTGGGGCTGTTGCCGGATAGAAACGCACTTGTCGTCACAAGACTGGCGCGTTGATAGGAAGGTCGATTCTGAGAGGTTTCGTTCAGTTTGCAGAAGCGTATGAAAGAGACGTGAAGGGGATGTAAATAAAACGTGAATATGTAATGCATTGCCAGGCATTGCCGTCTTAGCACATGCGTGGCCATCGCTTTTGCTTTAACCATCTGTGGGAAGAGGGTCGCATCATGCATCTCTTCTACCCTGTTACGCATACTAGCCCGAACCATTGCACTTTACGATGATGCTGTATGTTCAAGGTGGGGGAGGGGAGACGCGTGCTCCTGTCCCTCATCTTCCTTGTGTCCATGCCGGCCGAACATCTTCATAACTCCATCTTGTCTACCATGCTGTCGTATGCAGCGGCATAGCGCATCAGCCGACTTTACCGAAATGCAATATTGCACGATTGAAATTACATACACGATGCCTAGGATTGTTGCTGTTGGAAAGCTGTGCCTAGCAAGGTCAGTGCGCCTGCTGGACTTAACGTGGAGTGGCCCCATCCATTGTACTTGTTTTGGTGAGGAGCCCGGCCCGCCCCTGTTCTCGAGACCGCTCAAGCCGCGCGTTGGCTGCCCCCAGGCACTGCTGCAGGACAGCAGCACTCGGATGCGGTTCGAGTACACGGTGCCTGGCCACGAGGGTGCTGAGGCAGCGCAGGTGTTCTCGTGGAGGTACCAGGAGTGGTCCGAGTGTTCTGTCCACTGCGGTGGCGGCCGACAGGTAAGCGCTCGGCTCTGCGTGCCCGGCCATCTATGGGATTCGCTTGCTGTATTTGTGCGCGATGGCGTTGTGCGCGCAAGGTTTGGGAGCGGTGGGCTTTTCGAAACGCGTTTTTGAAATGGCGAGACATCACATTGTGGCAACAGAAATGCTGTGAAGCATGGCAGTCATTTGTTATGCTCTGCAGATTTCGGGTATCTTCAGGTATCATCATTATGCCGTTATCCACTGTCCATGATTATGATATAATGCGAAGGCTGTGTCCACGTGTCCACAAGATGGAGGTTCCGTGCAGCAAACAGTTTTTACATTTTAATTTTTAACGTTAGTCAAAGCACACAGTCGCTATGATTTATTTTACCTATGCGATACTACAGAATGGCCCAAACTTTGAAACCGGAATTCAGTGGCACGTGCATTTGATTTGTTTGCTGCACTCGCCCATTTCAAATGTGCGAAGCTCTGCGATGTACACTTACATATCGCAAAAATCCGTTTATAGTGAGTGTTTTGTGTGATATAGATGCAGCGGTCACTCAGTAACTAATCAGCATTGCTTGACCTGAGTGGTACCATTATGTAGTAGGTCCGTAGATTATACTTGGTAGATGTGCGGAGTCATTGCATCGTAGTGATTTTCTGCAACCTTGTGGAAGATGGAATCCGTACCTGTCTGACTCTGTCCACATTCTTTCAAAAAATCCTGTTGCATTGTACCCGTTAATATCATTGTAGTCCGCCTCCGCGTTCGTTGTTTTGGTTATCCACTCAGCCTCGGCGTCCCTCTGCCTACTTCAGGTAGCTGGTTCACTGTCTATGTCGTGTTCAGAGTGTGAGAAGGGTGTCTTCATGGTCCGCCAAACTGGCCAGAACCTTCTCAGCTGCGTCCGGGAACCGGCGCGGCGTACCGCAATCCACTGGGCATTAGGTCCCATGGGGCTGCGGGGCTTCGTTGAATGAGCTGTGGAAGAGCGGAGCTGAATGACTCCCTCCGTTCTTTGGCTGCTCCCAGCCGACCTGGTGCGGCCGTAATTGAACGTCCGTGGTGCGATTCACTTGCTGATGCCAGGTTTACGCACACCATCAACAAGCGGACCCTCAGACTACTCATTGTGGGTTGCGGTCCTAACTTGATTTCTTAAACCTTCGCCCCGATTCGCCCTTTTCCCAATCTTGAATGATAAGGGGGTTGATGTGACCCCCTGTCGTTTCCAAACTAAGAAAGATAGAGCCTCACCAAAAAGCGGCTTTCTTGCATCGATATGTGATGATATGCGATACGTTGTGCAATGCTAGGTCAATGACAACCTCATTGTGCCTGGTCAAAGTTTAATCGTCCTTGAAAATCGCACCGTTTTAGCTTTTCATGTTAATATGTACGAAATCTTGCCACGCAGCCACTTGTAACTTACACTGGTATATTTCTTGTTTAATTTTGTACACGTTGCCATGCAGTTGTCACGTGGTGTAGAACTCCGTTCATGCATCAGATCGGACCTCCACGCGCTCTCAGCGGGTTCGCCGGTTACCGCTGATGCCCAAGCCGGCCGTGGATCATCGTCCAGTGTCCTTACAAAGGCGTCAGCACTTCGAAACCAGAAATGCTAGAGATACGTTTGTAGCACCTAAACCCATAAATGTCACACAGGCTTTCGAACATTTGGGCGCGATTACATGGCATACTGGGTGGACATCCTCAGAAATTCTGAGGAGGTCGCATTGCGCCAACTCTTCCTTCCTGTCTGGGCGAATGTTAAGGTTAAAATAAATGTATAAAACTAAGCTTGAATGGTTGAAAGGGTTTTCTGTGCAAATGCGTGTCCATGTAGCCCATTTCACAGCTAAGTTCCACAGTAAATAAGTTTCCCCATCCATTGTTCCATCAAAGTCTCCGTATTGACTTGTTACACCTGATGTGCCGCACTGGTTCACTTATTATGTAGGCCGTAGCTAAGAGTACTGTGTTTGGCTTGCAACCGAACCCGTGCAAGGCGAGCACAGCACAGAAGTCCGTGCTGTCCAGTCAGCTGTCGGCCCCGTTTTCAGACGTCTGACGCGGTCTGCATGGAGGACGAGGCAGGCCGGGTGGAGGACATCTACTGCTCCACCGACCGGCCAGAGACCAGGTCCAGACCCTGCAACACGGAGGACTGTCCTGCCCGGTACGGCTTGTGTAACACCCAGTACTGTCCTGCCCGGTACGGCCCAGCGTGGCAGGCGTGATGTGGCGTGGCGCTCGAACCAACGCTCGTGAACAAGAGCTTCGTAATGCATGGAAACGGTTGTAAGGAAAGTTTTTTTATTTGTAAGGTGTGAGGTTCTCAGTAAGTAATGTTCGTAAAGGATGTGACTCGCTCGTTTAAGCACGTAAAGGAGTTTGATAGCATAAGGTTCGTCACAAGAAGTGTTCGTAATGGAAAAGTTTGTAAACAAGGACCCATAAGCTTACAAAATTTGAAGATATCCGGCACTGCTGAACTTATCACAATCTCTCATGCCTTTACCTTATCACGCGATAGATATTGAAGAACGTGGTCGAGGCGGCCTATTGGTTTGGGCTGCCACTGCCGCGGCAAATCTTAGGGATCGTGGCGGAATTTTCATTAGTTAGGTAGGGCATTATTCTTAAGATGAACTGTAAAACCTGGGATATGGCCATTGTAGTCGGTGCGCTCCTAAGCCCAACTCGTTATCATCGTTAACTGTTTCTGGGACCGATATTGATCACCGTGATTTACGGGTTTCCATTAATGACCGCCTGTTGTTCAGCTCATCAATATTTCTCGTCCCCTGCTCTTTCGACGTTCCGGTCGAAATATGTTTGAGAAGTTGTTTCCCTTTGAGATCTGTCCATATCGCAAAATTCGAAAAAGTATTCCTTGAAGGCGGCTTCCGTGGTCCTGGATATTGAAACTGGACCCGTAAACTGGCACCACTGGGTATGGGTCTCAGAACGGGCTCGTTGTTCGCGACGACTGACACGAAAAGGTCAGCTGGCGACTGGCCGGAGTGCATCAGTCTAGTGCGGGACGACAGTCGGTAACATTGCGCTGTGCGTGTGAAACACTCCATGGCTCTCCGTGGCAAAAGGCCGGAAACAAAATATCTGATCTATTATTATCAGCCTACGGCGTCCTGGGTATGCCTAGTTAGAACTGATCGCCTTGAAACCATGTGAGGATAAAACGTGTTACCTGAGTGACACGGGCGCTTTCATTTCGAGTTCACCTTTCAGCTAGATTTCAACTGCTGGCGGGCCATAATCTCGGAAAGGCCGTTGCGTTTTGAGGTTGGAATGGAGCATCCTGCCAGTATCAGTCCCAGTCGCAGTCGTGGGAGCTGAGAAGCGACCAGCGAGTGCTTTTCTCAACATGTATTCAAATTTACCAGCGCGCGATGCATTCAGGCCGGCTCGGTGCATGTTCGTACATTGCCGTACGTGGCGCATGTTTGCACATCCCCGCTCTTGGTGCATGCTCGCACACCACCACTCTCCCCACCCCTCCGTACTCGGCGCACGTTTGCGCATCCCTTCACGCAGCACGTGTTGACACATCCCTTCACGCAGCACATGTTGGCACATCCCTTCACGCGGCACATGTTCTCACATCCCCTCACTCTCCCGCACGACACGCCACGTCTTTGGCAAGGTCATTGATGTGACTGGTCCGTTTTTCTCTGCCTCCAGCGCGCGGTCTATTATTGGGAGCCAGCGCCTCTCTGCTCATTTGACACCCCTGGTTGGATCGGCCGGGAAAGCGGGAACTTGTCGCGCTAGCCATATGGTGCGTCTGGTGAAATTGACCACAGACACTAACGGGTTTGAAGAGTGTGATCAGGGCTCACCCTTGTTGAAAGGAGTGTGCCATCTTCGGGCCTTTTTCAAAAACATTCTCAGTGGAGCCTCCGGACTAGCTACGTCTTATGAAAGCGCTGGGAAGTGCAACTGCAGCGCTATCAAGACGTAATGAGGATATTTATTTGTATTAGCCGCCACTGTCGTCTAGGGGGAATATGCTGGACTCGTAATCCAGCGGCACTAGGTATGAATCCCAGAGCGGGCGCATCGTTTGACCCGACGGAAATGAGCTGGCAACTGGCTGGCAATGAGAGAAAAGGTCGGCTGGCAACTGGCCAACAAGTGTCAACCCAGGCCCGGGACGGTAGTGTCGCAGCATTGTGCGGCAAGTAAAACCATCCGCATTCCCGTCTGGCTCAAGGGTGGAGGCAAGATTATCCGTTGAACTGGGCGGTGCCAATTGGGTGGTGGGTTCACGATGCACGCAACAAGCTATGCTTAGCAGGTACTATGAACCCAGTCACCCGTGCAAACCATTCGGAATAAATTTATTTTTAGAAAACTGTTTTCAAGTCCAAAGTACGCTGTCAGCGCATTGTATCAACACTTTGCCTCTTCCCTGCAGTCGCGACCACCGTCGTCATGACAACCACCAAGCCCACCTCTACTGACACGAATAAAATAACGCTTGCGATTGGCCCATGGGGCAAGGGCCTGTTACGGAAAAGTTGGCTGATTGACGTTTGAACCAGTGCGTTACAGGCAGTGCAGGCTGAGGGGTGGGGGCACAGGGCACGCGCCTGCGTGCTGATTAGGGACTCACCGTGTCGATAAGGGTTTACATTTCGGTCAGACGCCAACAGTAACGCACATTCGGCTCCGTGACGGCATCGGCCTAAGGCCCCATTTCCCAGACAGGAGCCAGCGATTTACATTGGTCGGGGCCGCAGCGCACGTCGCTGTCAGCGCACGACAGCGTCTAACGGGGGCCCTGTGTTGGCAAGGGGCCCCGAGTCTTCTAGAGGCAGAGTTTGAGGAGGCCCGAGGGGCCTGGAAGGCCCACTGGGTCCGATGATCAAGGACATTCAGGGGAGTGGAGGTTGTGAGGTCTGTGGGCTACTACCTGCTAATCATGAGAAGAAATTGACACTCCTGTCATTATGACACAACCACATGTTGTGGCATGATGACGGGAGTGTCAATTCACTATGTTGTGATAGTGATGAAGGCTTCACCAGGTATGTTTTGCAGTTCATTGTTATCAAAAACAAAAATAAATAAACGATATTTGCATCCATGCAAATATCATACTCACAAGCGCAAAGAAAATGTGCATATGAATGCGCTCTGCAGTGTGACTCAGTTCCAGAGCTTTCCTGTTGCAGTAGGGGTGCTATAATCAGCAGTCAACATTGTCCTCAAAGAGCACCAGATGCTAATCTTTCTCCGAACTCCTAGGGCAGTTGGACCACAATAACGCACAATAACCTTCTGCTACTTGCGGTGAGACTCTCGATAAGAAAGGAGATTGCGATGGAACCTGTACTCCCCTTCCTCTACCTTTCCATGACTTACATTTGCTACCCCACCTCACTCTTCACTTCTCATTGCCTTCCCATTGTCTACGTCATTGGCTATCGTATAAATGTCTGGCAACCAAGATTCATGTAAGCAAAAGCTTAAATGGTGAACAATTGTTTTAATGTTAACAAGACATTGATGACATAGCTGCATTTCAAGCGAGGACATAATTTTTGAAGATAGGTTGGGGAAAGCACTGCAAAATAATCTAATCTACCCATAAAATTAGCTGTCTTCCTGATTGGCACCCTTTTCAACAACTCGGGGATGCTTGGAACCCTGAACTGAAAATAAATATAGATACACCCCTGATTTGTAAACTTCTCTGACTTGCAACCATCCGCAATCAGGACAAGAGTAAAATTGGCATGAACTGGCTTTTAAGAACCTTTCGCACCTCTTATCATTCATTTTCACGAGAAGTGTCATCAGACTACAACATCAAACCCATGGTGCTTTTCAAAGGGAGAAAGGCTGACTGCTTTTGATTGAGTAAAAGCAGTGAGTAAAAGGCCTTTTTGATGCATCGAAATGTCGGCCTGGGTAAAACAGGTCAATTTCTACCTTGATCGGATCATCTCGTCGACTTACTCTCAATATGCATGTCATTGCTGTGGACAGGATACAGAATCGCGGTACTACCAACGAAGAAGACAGGGCCCAGAAATCCAGCCCTAGGCAGGTATTCGTGACACTGCAATGGAAATGCCGCTTGTGAAGCCGCAGTGTATTGAAAGTTAAAAATAATCTCCCGCTTCATATCAGCCGCAACGGAACGATTGAAGGGTGCCCTTGCGACCAGTTGAATCCTCGTATCTAGGTATTTTTCCAATCTGTCATACTGTCTAGTTTGGGGCACGACAGTCGGCTGAAAAAAAACGAATCGGCCGGCCAACCGCGTCGTAGGAAATGCACTGGTTTATCGTCCTATGTCGCCGAGTGGAGCGACCAACTGATATCATAGGATATTTTTGTCGTCGGGTGCGGATGAAACCTTATTGAGATACATGGTGCGGTAGGCTGTGGCAAAGAGTCTTTGCGGAAAGGTTTGCTTGTGTTGTGTGATGAAATGTGTTAGTATGCACGCATAATGTCTATGTGTGGGGACCTTTTGTTAGGTGTTGCAGAGTGTGGTGTACTTTCTTGTCTTGGCCGTCACAAAAGTGTTCTGCGTAAAGCATTTTGGTAACATTTTTTTGCGTAAAAATATAATGTTTGCCGCAGACCTTCTCCACCAAGTCGGCACACCTTGCCACCTCTGGTCGGCTACTTCCGATAGAAATTCTGAGATGTTCAGGAGCATTTCCAGACAGCTGGTATTATTGATGACATTTTACACGTCTGATGTAACATAAGGTGGAAAGTAAAAAAATATGTGAAGTTGAAATGCCCTTTAAGGCTGAAAAATGTCCTTTAAGGCTGCAATCGATATCATGTAACACCATGAGCGACGTCAGACTAAACATCTTACTTTAGTTTAGACCACTACTCGTTTAACTGCAGTACACTGTTTTTATAGTTGTGACTGTCCAGGTCGGGTACTAGGCACCTATTCCACTCACGTCTCGCTCAAACCCGCCAAATTGTGTTTGTCAGTCGCAGCTTAGTTGTGATTCAAGAGACTGGTCGGTTTCTTGCGTCTTGGTGTTTTGTTCCAGGTTGGGGGATGAATACTGTGAGATAAACCATCCAATAACCTTGCCGTTGACGATTTATTACCACATACGACGAAGCAAGGAAGTAGCCGGGTGATCTGTGGGCATGTGTTGCCAGGGCTGATCC